CACAATCTCGGCTCACTGCAACCTCCGCCTCCCGGGTTCAAGCAATTCTCCTGCTTCAGCCTCCCGAGTAGCTGGGACTACAGGTACACTCCACTATGCCAAGCTAATTTTTGTATTTTTAGTAGAGACGGGGTTTCACCATGTTTGCCAGGATGGTCTTGATCTCTTGACCTCATGATCCGCCCGCCTTGGCCTCCCAAAGTGCTGGGATTACAGGTGTGAGCCACCGCGCCCAGCCAAGAGTTTTCTTTTATTGTCATCAACCAGCTTCTATTATGATTGATCATTGCTTAAATTAAGATTCAATCTTTTGTTATCATCAAGAAAAAATAAATCTGACATACTTTTGAGTAGTATTTGTTTTTTTTCCCAACATCTAAAACAAAAAAAGCCATTTTGTTATTAAGAAACAACCTTTAAGGCTAGGCACAGTGGCCCACACCTGTAATCCCAGTTCTTTGGGAGGCTGAAGTGGGCGGATCAACTGAGGTCAGGAGTTTCAGACTAGGCTGGCCAACATGGTGAAACCCCATCGCTACTAAAAATACAAAAAATTAATCAGGCATGGTGGAGCACACCTGTAATCCCAGCTACTTGGGAGGCTGAGGCAGGAGAATTGCATGAACCTGGGAGGCATAGGTTGCCGTGAGCCAAGATTGTGCCATTGCACTCCAGCCTGGGCAACAGAATGAGACTTTGTCTCAAAACAAAAAACAAAAACAAAAACCAAGAAACAACCTTTGTTTTCTTCAAGTAAAAAAATGCTGCAGAATCATCTTAGTAATGCTTTATTGATTAGTTGCAGTTGTTTTATTGGAATGCTAAACCTAGATATTTTTCTTAAAGATTATATTGAATTGTTTTTTTTTTTTTCCATATTGTAATATTGTAAAGAAAAACATCACTGGCTTTACAATATGTGTTTTATCTATCTTTACTTTTAGCTGCAGGAATACAGATGAGTCAAATTGTTGGTCTTGGCATTTCAACACAGAGAGCAACTTTTATTACGTGGAACAAGTAAGTGCATTTTGTAATAAGCACCTAACTGCTAGGTTCATGCCACACTGAGTACAGGGCTATGAAGCCTTTTTGGGGAGTTTTAACTTTGTGAATCGAGAGTAGTTTTGTTTGGTTAAGAGGGATGAAAGGGGCCTGCTTTCTGGCTTATATGCTTGCTGCATGTCATTTGGGCTTGACTTATATAAAATAATGACCCACAAAAAGACTTACTGTCATTAAAATTTTCCATTCCTTTCTTTTGGGCAAGTTAGCTTTTCAAACAAGCATAGATCAACGATCTAAAAAATTAGCTTATACCTAAAAAGAGTCAAAGGAATCTCACAAATTTCAGAAACACAGTACTGTGCTTATGGTTTATATTTTCAGTCTACTCTAAATTTGAAATTTGTCTATAGCATATGAGGCATATATAGACTAAACGAATTTATAATAATAGCTGCTATATAATAAGCACCTGTGACAGTCTCAAGTTCCATTATCCTTACAACAGACCTATAATTTAGGTATCATATCTGTTTTTATAGAGAAATAAATTGATCAAGGTTGCTCAGTGAGCAAATAGAGCCAAGATTCTAAATTGTGTTTTTGACTCAGACGCATATGTTCTTTACATTATCCCCATATTGCCTTCAACATGTTTCTTTCTTTTTCTTTTTCTTTTTTACTGAGGCAGGGTTTTATCTGTTACCCAGGCTGGAGTGTGGTGGCATGATCACAGCTCACTGCGGTCTCGACCTTATAGGCTCAGGTGATCCTCCTGCCTTAGCCTCCCAAGTAGCTGGGACCACAGGTGCACTCTGCTATGGCTGGCTAATGTTTTTGTATTTTTTGTAGAGATGGGGTTTCACTGTGTTGCCAGGCTGGTCTTGAATTCCTCGGCTCAAGTGATTCTCCCACCTTGGCCACCTCACCCAGCTAGCATATATTTCTCTGTTTCTTGGTTTAAACAAACACTGATCTTCCCTCCCCCACGTACCCACACACACCACTGTAAAATGTGTCTTTGTTAGAGCACTAGGCTCCAAAAGACGTCTTGAACTTGGGGATTGGGAAAGAAAAGAGAGTGGAGGGAGAAAAGATGAATCTCAGAAATGTAATCAGGGTGAATTCACAAGGACTTGGCTTCTAATTCAGTATCAGGGAAGAAGAAATTCGAATTTACCAATACTGCTGGCCTTGATGTTTGGGTGGTATGATAGAAATCATAGAGAAATATAAGAGGAATGCACTGGGAGGTAGTGAGAGTAGGTAGAAGGAAAAATGATAAAATGTTTGGTTTTGGACGTGTGAATGTGGAAATATCCCAGAGGTGACTAGAACATTGATTTAATTTGGACTGAGGTGTAGCACATCTCCATCAGATGGGTTCTTTTGATTTTTATTGTTGGGGGATGAGGTCTTCCCTGCCACCCAGGTTGGAGTGGAGTACAGTTGCATGATCATAGCTCACTGCAGCCTTGAACTCCTGGGCACAAGGGATCCTCCCATATCAGCCTCCCAAGTAGCTGGGACTATAGGTATGTACCACAGTATGCCAGGCTAATTTTTTTTTTTTTTTG